CGCCATGACTCAGTAGGAAAGATTATCCACCAAGAACTAGCTGACAAACTGGGACTTCTCCAAACCGACCATCTTCCTTATTATCAATATGTCCCTGACAGAATGCTTGAAAATGACAACTACAAGCTATACTGGGACCGCACTGTGCTCACAGACCAACCAGTGGCCCATAATAGACCGGATCTCATACTAGTGAATAAAATTACCAAGCAAACAACACTTATTGATGTGGCGATACCTAACACTAACAATTTGCTTGTTAAATACAACGAAAAGATCGCCAAGTATAGAGATCTGGAAATACAAATCAAGAGACAATGGAGAATGGAAAGTACCCAGACAGTACCTATTGTTCTATCTACTACTGGTGTTATTCCCAAGAACCTCCTAGTGAACATAAAAACAGCTGGGTCTAAATGAACATCTTTATAAGGCCATGCAGAAAGCTGTACTCCTCGCGACCTCCAGATGTGTACGAAAATTTCTGGGAGATACTCCGACATACCAAGTCACCTAGGGCTCGATAACACGGAAAGAGTCCCACCAGAGCTCAATCCTTTTGATACCGTAGGTATCTGGGATGAGTGAATTTTCCCCTTAGAGGGAGTGTGAGCCGTATGGCTAAATCTGGGATAATAATAATAATTTGTACAAATTGGTCACATCCTGTGTGGCCCGGCGTATCTACCAACACTGTGCTCTGAACAATATCATAGAGCCCCAACAGAAAGGATGCGCCTAAGGGCTCCATGGGATGCAAAGAACAACTTATTATCGACTCAGTCATTTCTAACCAGGCATACACCAAAAAAAGAAACCTTTTTACTGCCTTCATTGACTACAAGAAGGCTTTTGATTCAGTGCCGCATGAATGGCTTATAGATATATTAAAAATATATAAAGTCGATGATAATCTCGTGACCTTTTTGAAGCATATAATGGCAGAGTGGAAGACTAAAATTCACCTTCAAATACCTGGTGAAATTAATATCGAAACTGAAGATATCCCTATTAACCGGGGCCTTTTCCAAGGGGACTCGTTGAGTCCACTTTGGTTCTGCCTAGCGATGAACCCATTATCACAGCTGCTGAACTCTACTGACTCAGGATTTAGCATCAAAAATAACAACACCGTTGTAGCGAAGCTTAATCATCTGTTGTATATGGATGATTTAAAATTAATGGCTTCCACCCGAAACCACCTAGATGAGATGCTAAAAACTGTAGAAAATTTCTCAAATGACATCAGTATGCATTTTGGACTAGACAAGTGCCGTATACTAAATATAGTCAGAGGAAAGGTTCAGCCTGGAGGTTTCGATATGCAAGATGGCCAAAACATCGAGGCAATGGGTGAAAATGATATGTACAAATATCTCGGAGTAAAACAAGCACGTAAAATTGACCATAAACAAATGAAAACGGAACTAACTTCGGAGTTCGTGCGAAGGGTAAGACAACTAAATCGGTCATATCTTAATAGTAAAAATTTGTTTAAGGCATTAAATACGTACGCCTGTTCCGCGCTGAGCTACTCATTTGGTATTATAAAGTGGTCAAAAACGGATATAGAGGGTCTTCAGCGGAAAGTAAGAACACTTCTCACAAAGGCGCAAAAACATCATCCACGTAGTGCAGTAGAGAGAACAACATTACCGCGGTATCAAGGGGGAAGAGGACTTATGGATATAGGTGAGCAATTAGATAAACAAATTGCTAATTTAAGATCTTATTTTCAGGTACAGGCTGAGACATCTACTTTACATCGAGCAATTTGCGCAGTAGATGATACGACGCCGCTTAAACTGAGGGAACAAGAAATGCGCATAAACCACCTGACCCAGCAAGAAAAAATGCGCACCTGGATGAGTAAACCTCTGCATGGGCGACATCTCAATGAGATCAACCAAGAATATGTAGACAATACAGCGTCGAACTATTGGTTGACATCAGGAAAGATGTTTCCCGAGACTGAGGGCTTCCTACTTGCCATTCAGGATCAGGTTATTCCAACTAAAAATTACCTGAAATATATTGTTAAAGATCCTCAAGTACAAAATGACAAATGCCGATATGGATGCCAAGCCCAAGAAACCATCCAACATCTTACGGTGGCTGCCAGGCATTTGTCGGTACTGATTATAAAGAACGCCATGACTCAGTAGGAAAGATTATCCACCAAGAACTAGCTGACAAACTGGGACTTCTCCATACCGACCATCTTCCTTATTATCAATACGCTCCTGATAGAATGCTTGAAAATGACAACTACAAGCTATACTGGGACCGCACTGTGCTTACAGACCAACCAGTGGCCCATAATAGACCGGATCTCATACTAGTTAATAAACTTACTAGACAAACAACACTTATTGATGTGGCGATACCCAACACCAATAATTTAGTTGTTAAATACAACGAAAAGATCGCCAAGTACAGAGATCTAGAAATACAAATCAGGAGACAATGGAGAATGGAAAGTACCCAGACACTACCTATTGTTCTATCTACAACTGGTGTTATTCCCAAAAACCTCCTAGCGAACATAAAACAACTAGGTCTAAATGAACATCTTTATAAGGCCATACAGAAAGCTGTACTACCTCGCGACGTCCAGATGTGTACGAAAATTTTTGGGAGATACTCCAACATACCAAGTCACCTAGGACTCGATAACATGGAAAGAGTCCCACCAGAGCTCAATCCTTTTGATACCGTAGGTATCTGGGATGAGTGAATTTTCCCCTTAGAGGGAGTGTGAGGCCGTATGGCTAAATCTGGAATAATAATAATAATAATACGAAGACAGTGGAAAATGGAAAGTACCCAGACAATACCTATTATTTCTCTCTACTACTGGAGTCATTCCAAAGAACCTCCTAGAAAATATAAAAAAGCTAGGTCTGAATGAACATCTCTACAAGACCATGCAAAAAGCTGTACTACTCTCAACATCTCGATGTGTACGAAAAATTTTGGGAGATACTCCAGCATAACCAAGTCACCTAGGGCTCGATAACACGGAAAGAGTCCCACCAGAGCTCAATCCTTCTGATACCGTAGGTATCTGGGATGAGTGAATTTTCCCCTTAGAGGGAGTGTGAGCCGTATGGCTAAATCTGGATAATAATAATAATAATATATATAAATATATATAGGGCTGAAACCTCCGAGGGGATGAACCGGGTTGACGCCCTAGCGAGAAAAAAAAATGAAAAAAATATATAACAATTGAAAAAAATATATACTAATTAAAAAAATATATACCAATGGAAAAAAAAAACCTTACTTATTTTGTATATTACTAACAAAACAAATGAATACATCATGCTCAGGTTTGATAATATTCACACAAATTAATGATTCAATCTAACATAGTCTGGCTAATTGGTTCTCGCCAAAGCCATAAATTCCATGAAAAAAAAAAAAAAAAACTGCCCCAACAGGCAGTAAACTTCCGTACATCATACTTGGTCTTATGGCTGTTTTATAGAATTGTCCCTTCAGCTTCATTTGTAATTTTTCGGTCACACAACATACCACTCGCTTCCTTTCACTTCATCCATCCAACCCTAATTCTACTGTATGCATTTTCATCTATTTCTCCATTACTCTACCGATCCTAGGTACTTAACACTATTACTTTTCACAATCATTTCACCATCCAAAGATATCCTTTTATTTGTAGCAACTCTTAATTTTTTATCCTCAGGAGCTTCACTCTGTAGTTTCGCTGTTATCTGATCCAACAATAATGGGAATAAATAAGAGTCGAGCCTTGGTGTAATCCTTCTTTTACATGAAGTTTATCAGTCTCTCCCACACGTGTCCTAACACTAGTTATTATTCCCTCACACATGTCTCTCGCACTCTTTACATATTCACTGGTGACATCGTTCTTATTGAGTGTCCACCACAGAATCTCTCGAGAAGCTCCAATATTGTAGTATCGAAAACATGTAACATCTCAGAGCTCTTATTCTCAGTTCTAATCTAAGTTCTTTATTGCAGAAAAGTATTTTTTTAATTTTACAAACGCATTTCTTGGTATTTCTATCCTGGCACTTATTTCTGTTGTTTGATCATGTTTTTCTGAAATCAGGATTCCCAGGTACTTGTATTTTTCAATCCTTTCTATTCCCTTTCTATCGGTACATCTCCCAAATGTATGTTTGTTTTTATATTTAGTTTCTTTGTTATTATCATGTATTTACTTCTTTTTATATTCATTTTTAGTCCATATTTTTCAAAGTAATTGTTTGTCTTGTTTAGTAGTTGGAGTTGTTCAGCGGAGATTGCCATAATCACTGTGTCATCTGCTTCTCTTATATTTTTAATAGTTCTTCGAGTAATTATTATTTCTTCACTTTCAGATTGTAATGATATAACGATTACAGCAGTTCGAAACTGAAAAAGAATCACCATTGACAGAAGGGAATCGAATGTAATTGCTAGATAGACCAAAACCCACAAGGGTTGTAGCGATAGAGGAAGAAGATTGTTTGAGAGATGCCCATAGATAGTTAATAATATATAAATCAGAATTTAACTTACTAGGTTCGAAGTAAATGTTTTTAGACCTTAACCAATCTATCATAACCTGTTTACTGCTAATAAAATTTGGTGCTTTATCGTTTTAAATATTATGATAAGGAGCACTTATTCCTTAGTTACAGTAAATATTTTTCTTTTGTATCGCAGGAAGAGCAAAACAACTTGCGGTTAAAAAGTAAACGCCTTGACAAATAAGAACAAATTAATTTTAAGTGATTAATTCCGAATTAGATCAGATTGAACTATAAATTTACAATTTATGACACCATAGATCATTGATTACAATTATGGTAATTTTTAGGTTTAGTGTGGCAGAGTTACCAATGTCGATTTTAAAAATGTCAAATATTATTCTTGATGTAGAAAAACCTCGCTTGTAGCTTTGAGATTTTTCATTAATTTTTGAGAAAAATTTAGCAAAAGTAGTTTGTACACAAAAATATTACCTAACATCTGTTCCAGCTACCGCTAGATATGCACCACTCTGGTCAAAGCAGAGATCTTTAATCTGGTAACCTTCATCTAATTGTAATGTTTTGAAATTTCTCAACTTTCGCAAATCCCACAGTTTTACACAAGCATCATCAGCAGCTGTCGCTAAATAGTAACCATTTTCAGAGAATGATATGGATGAAATTGCTCCAGAATGTCCTGAAAATACCAAAATAAAACATTTTTTAATAATCAAAAGATTTTCTACAAAAAAAAAAGAAAACGTCAAACAGTGCATCTAAGTAAAATTGTTTAATTGTATAAAAGCGCAAACATGCTGAAGAATTTCATTTATATATTATTTTTAAGTAGACCCTTAACAATTAGTCGTATAAATGACTTATTACTATGAAGACCTATAGCTGATAGGTAAACTACATTTAGTTTCCTATCAATATTGTCAATTTTGTTTTAATGTGGTTTTTGAGACGTGACGGGAAAAATTGGAAATTGACACTAGCAGAACATAGGTGTTAAGGCGCGTACTGACTAAGCAAATTAACTCGCACGAACGATGTGCTTGCACACACGGTCGTGCGCGTCATTTTGATTTACCATAATTATTGTATGCGTAGGGGGGCTCCGGTTATGCGTCGGTTCAGTTTTATACAAGATTTCAACAAGGAAAGAGATCATAACAGCAAGTGAAGCCTACTTAGTAATTCATAGTATATTTAAAGAGAAAAAAATCGGGAAAAGCAATGGTGGATAACACAGTTGTATAGAAGCAGGCATATATATATATAGTCGGACAATTTTGAATTAAAGGTGACTAATCTACAAATTGAACTAACCGGTAGCGGCAACCATGTAAAATTTCAGCAGTAAATTCTTACCGGCGTCATTGTTATTGTGTATGCTTCGCCCATGTAAATAAGTGAAAATAAGATAAATTTTCCGCCGTAACAATATAAATTGGTGTGATTCACAATTTCACAATTTCATTGAATAGTTTGAAAGATGGGTAAACTTATCAATATTTTGCTGGTCTATATATATTTACGTTCTTAAAATAATAGTAACATAAGTGAGTCAACATTTTCATAATCTGAGTCTTCTTCTACCAAAGCTATTAACTATGTAGTAGTTAGTGCCATTTTTATTTCATATTTCGAGAATTTACTAAAATAGACAAATGCACTACTATATAAACGCATTTACATGATAATAGTTTAGCTTACTTCATTTTAATTTATATGAATTTCATAATATATTTTTATATTTATATAAACAAATAAACACAAGGAAAGTTTCAAATTAAGTTAAAAAAAAAAACAAATATAACGTTTACAGCACACAGCAATTCTATAAATAGAGAATGATGTGTAATGACGAGATCGTATGTTAAAATTTCAGATTGTTTTTAGTCTAATGAAAAAAATGAGTATTTTCCAAAGTTTTCTGTTTTTTGAAGTTCTGTATTAGGTACTCTCTAATAAGAATAAAATTTTACTTTGTTTTGTTCTTCTTCTTCAAGTGCCGTCTTCGTTCCGAAGTTTGGCTATCATCAAAGCTATGCGTATTTTTTATGCTGCAGATCTAAACAGTTGGTAATTGGTGCAATTGTACCATTCTCTCAAGTTTTTCAACCATGAATGCCTTCTTCTTCCTATAGATCTCTTTCCCATTATCTTTCCCTGTATAATCAATTGCAGCAACTGGTATTTATCTCCCCTCATAACATGTCCCAAATATTGTAGTTTGCGCTTTTTAACAGTAAGTATCAGCTCTTTCTCTTTCCGCACTCTCCGCAAAACCTCCACATTTGTTACTTTCTCTGTCCAGGGTATTCTTAATATTCTACGATACATCCACAACTCAAATGCTTCTATCTTTTTGGTATCGATCTTTTTCAATGTCCATGTTTCCATCCCGTAGAGGAGAACTGACATAACGTAACATCTCAAAAGGCGAATTTTAAGTTTTAGACTTAGATCTCTTCCGCAGAACACCTTTTTCAATTTAGTAAATGTGGCTCTAGCTTTCTCTATTCTGGTTCTGATTTCTTCAGAGCAATCATTATTTTCGTTGATAACAGTTCCCAGGTAATTATATCTTCTTACACGTTCGATTCTTTGATCATGCACGGTTATGTCAGGAAAGTTTTGTGGTGATTTAGATATTAGCATTAATTTTGTTTTGCTTGTGGTAAGTGATAATCCGTGTTCTTCACTGCATTCTACTATTTTGTTAATTAGTATTTGAAGATCTTCCCAAGTTTCTGCGATTAGTACCGTGTCATCGGCATATCTCAAGTTGTTTATTCGGATGCCATTTATCTTAATACCTATATTTTGATCCGAAAGTGCTGTGTTTATAATGTCTTCGGACATAGATTGAATAAGGTCGGTGAGAGTATACAACCCTGTCTTACGCCTTTCTTGATCTCGATTTCCTCCGTTGTCTCTTGCTCTATTCGGATATTTGCTTTCTGGTTATAGTAAATCTTAGAGATAATTCTGATGTCCCTTTTATCCAAGTTTTTTTCTACTAGCAGTTTCATTAAGTGATCGTGACGAACTTTATCAAACGCTTTGTTGTAATCAATAAAGCACATATATATATATATATATATATATATATATATATATATATTATTATATATATATATATCTTGGTTTATATCTAGACATCTTTGGCATATGACGTTAAGTGCAAATAGTGCTTCTCTTGTTCCAAGCCCGTTCCGAAATCCGAATTGAGTATTACTAATATCTGCATTTAGTTTTCTGTTAATTCTTGAGTGGATTACTTTGATGAATACTTTTAATGTATGCCCCATTAAGCTTATAGTGCGGTAGTCAGTGCACTGTTTTGCATTTGCCTTTTTTGGTAAGGTTACAAAAGTTGAAAGTAGCCATTCCTTTGTTATTTCTCCTCTTTTGTAGATGCAGTTAAAAAGGTCGAGTAGAATATTCACTGAATCGCCTTCCACAAGCTTAAGAAGTTCTGATGTGAGCCCGTCTGGACCCGGTGATTTACCATTTTTCATTATTTTTATAGCGTATAATAGTTCTTCTTTAGTTATTTCTGGTCCTTCGTCGCCTTGCAAGTTATCTATATTAGGTTCTTGTCTTTCATCGTCGAACAATTCTTCTACATAGTTCTTCCAGGTCCTAAGCTTTTCTTGTAGATCGGCTATTATTTCACCATTTGCGTTGCATAGGAGATTGGGATGTTTTCGTTTTTGTGTACCTGTCTTATTTTCTTATTTCTTTTCTGATTTGTTTGTTTACTTCATTATATTTTTGGCTGCATTTTCCCTTTAACTGTCTTCGCTCTTCCATGAGACCTAAATTTTTTTCTGTTATCCATTCTCGTCCTTTTTTCCGTTTCTCTTTGGTAAGCATTTTCTGGGCAGGTTTTATTATGGCGTCTTTTAAATCTTGCCACTTGTCTTCTACATGCGTGTTCTCTGTCTTTGTAGAAAGCATTCGTAAGTTATCATTGATATGTTGTTTTAAATCTTCTTTAATTGTTGGATCTTGTAAGCGGCTGGTATCTATGTGATCTATTTTTGTTTTATTTGAAGGTCTTTTGAGTCTAATGTGTACCCGCGCTATCAGATGATCTGAAGAAACATCTGCGCCTGGATAAGCCTTAACTGATCTTATACAGTTTCTGTATCGCTCATTTATTAAAATATAATCTATCTGATTCCTAATTGTTTTTTTCCCTAGTGTGTTGAGGGGACGTCCATGTGTACAGTCTTCGTTTGGGAAGCTTAAAGAATGTATTTGAAATTATCATATCATTCTCTTGACAGAACTCTAAAAGTTTGTCTCCTCTGTCGTTTCTTGCCCCTAAACCATATTCTCCCACATTTTTTCCGCTTTTTCCTTTGCCAATTTTGGAGTTGAAGTCTCCAAGGATAAGTGTAACATCTTTTGGCTTTGTAGACTTTAGAACTTGATTTATTTGTTCATAAAACTGCTCAATCTCTGCTGTTTTGTTAGACAACTATAAATAAGATACCTGTTAAACGACACATGATAATTTAATAATTATATCGGTATTAGATTTAATTTTTACGTAAATACTTGTGTTTAAATAATTAAAATTTTTTTGGTACGCCTCTGCAAAATTGATAAGTGGAATATGACTTCGTTGAAAGTTATCGTTAAGGACTTCGTGAAGTGCGATGTTGCCAAGTAATCACCTTCAATTAAAAATTGTTTTACTAGAGTGGATCTGTTTTGTAAAGATATTTAAAATTTCAAGAAACTTTTGTTCGTATATCTTCAATAAATTTTAAAAAACTAATCAATATGATCGGTCCTAAAATAAGCCAAACGGATACGAAATTTAGAGCCGCTGTTCCGGTTAAAAAACGTCTAACTTCTTAAAGTCGTCTAATACCTTTTTAAAGAACACTTTTGTTGGCGCTGTAACAGTTAGAATCGTCGTTTTTTTTTTATTATTTAGTTAATAGTTTTTATAATACATATTAAACTTGATATATCTGTGGCTTGGTGCAAGAAGTGCCTATGTCAGTATTTAGTTAAATGAGATTTTTGCCTCTAAACATTTTGTTCACATTACACATTTTAATAAAAACTTTTTTTTGTATGATGTTTCTCCCGTTTCAAATTTTGTTTATTTCTTCTTTATATCATTTCATGTTCCAATAGTTTTGACCTCGTTACCCTTTTCTCTTCGAAATGATCCTAACAGACTGCTCATTTTCTGTTTCGCTTTATGTTCTTTTACTTTTAAATTGTTTGCAACACTTTGTCATGCATCGAATTTCTTATTTCGTGATAAATACTGAGGATGTTTGGCTTCTTATAAAATTGGATGTTGTTCACATTCGTCAATTAACTGCAAGCACTGTTCTTTACTCCATTCCATTCTTTTCAAAAAAAAAAAAAAAATTCGAAATAAACATTTTTTAACTAAAATCAGTCTGTACAGTGTACGGGCACAACCGCTAGATTCACAAATATCCTCCAAATTCAGCAACTTGAAGCGTAAATATTCTTTGATGTCATCCAGAAACCGACTATTGACGGATAGCATTCGCGCGGGTTAACTTTATATGGGCACACATACAGACCTGAGCATTTTTGCGCACACAGAGTTGGTGCGAACAAATTTGCTAAGTCAGTACGCGCCTTTACGTTTGGTTTTTAAGATCTGTAACAGTTTCAATAAACTGATACTTTTTCACCTTGTTAGAGTAAATATGAAAAAAAAAATCATGGAAAACGGGCTCCAGCCCGTTCTATTCTCGCCTTAATAATCATGATATTTATTTCACATATGCTACTGAATGTTGTAGTTGTGAAAATCAAATTGATTATTGATTAACAAGGGTTGTTTGCTAACACATTGATTTTCATTCTTTTGAGTTTATTAAAGAAATTCTGAAATATTTGAAAAACATATCCAGTTGATGTTCATTTCTGTTGCACACTAGTTTACACATCAGACGACAAAAACATACGTAATATTCCCAATATTATTTTCATTTAGGACAGTTCAAATGTTACCATGGATACACATCATTAAAAAATCTAGGTCTACAATCTACTTAAAGCAATACATAACAAGTTTTTTACTTTAATGAAATCAATAATTTAAATATTATCGCATATAATCTATAATTACTCTAATTTTACCTGTGAAATTTGCAGCTGTAGTCTGTTCTTTTAAGTCCCAAATTTTGACTTGAGAATCTGCAGTACCAACTCCAAAAATTAAACCATCAGGATGCAACTGTGCTGTTGTTAAAGGTGTATTGGTATTATCTGAAAGTTTAGCTAACAAAGTACCAGTTCTGATATCTGAAAACGCCCAATATTGATCTTCTGATGTAGATAATACATAGTCTCCTGTAGGATGTAATGACAAACCAGTAATAGGACCTTCATGAGGTCGCAAAAGCAAAGTTGTTTGTGATGTTGGTACATTCCAGACACGAATGGTGGCATCTGGAGAAGCTGGAAAATGATTTTGCATGTTAAAAACATTTACAAAGGGTGTACAACAAAAGTCTAAGTAATGTTCACTGATCCTGATTAATGAGTTGGTTAAATAAACGATTCGTAAGGCTTCACGTCGTAACCGCTGGGTGCATCGAGTATGTTATGAAATTAACGAACAAGTGTAAAGGGTAAGTTTCTGGAGCCTATAAAATAACTGAAACATATATATATATATATATATATATATATATATATATATATATATATATATGAAAAACTCCTACACAAACCAGCCAGACTGAAGCATCTCTAGCATCCGACTTACCTATGTAGAGTATTGTAGATATTGATAGTCTGTACTGAATAAAAATTACAAATACTTACAAGCATCAAACTAAAAGTGCGGACAGATCAAAATCATGACGAATCAGGCAAGTCAAGGATAAACGAGTTGGAATAACCATACATTCAAAATAATTACTTAAAAACTGTAAAGGATTTGGGTCAAAGAAGCAAGAAATAAATGATAAACTAAAAAATAACGTAAGATAAAGATTGTTATAACTGAAACTTTGAGTAATTAAAAATTTGGATGATTACACAAGGATATACAGCAGAGCATATTTTTTAATTGAAATTCTGAAGGTGATGTATGCTTGCTTCTATTGATATTAAATTCTGATCCTTAAGTACTCATGTAGTAATTATAGACGAAGAGTCTCTGATCTTTTACTAACCCATTAATATTCTTATCACTGACTACTTCTTTCAGTATTGTAACCAGAGCCTGCTACATTCTGCTAATGAGTTTGCTACACATGTTGCTTTATTTAGTAAGATGACTGCTACTTTTTTGATTTTACTCTTTTCGCTGTCAGTTTCTTTCATGACTATTAATGTACCTCTCAGTACTCTGTTCTCATTGTTCCAGGTATGTTTGCGTATCTGGGATATGTCAAAGTCTGTTTTTTATATATTTTATGATTCATGCCCATTTATCCTAACACTTAGTAGTTCTGCGGCTTCTCCCATATGAAAATTGTTGCATTTGTTTGGTTTGGTTTTGAAGAGAATAGATCTCAGTGTGTATGTTGTTTTTAATGTTGTTGGGATGTTCTATTTATTTCCTATTTATTCCTTTTTCCCTTTTTAAAATAATTTTTCACAGATAAGCCCTTGTACATATATTATAATTGTTATCTTTAAATTTCCCTACTCCTTCCTCCTTCAGGTGAAGCATTTTCTGTCACTGCACATTGAAAACACCACCATAACACAGAATAGTAAATCCATAGAAAAGTTGAGTAAATTTAAATACCTGGGGATCGAGGCTTTTTTTGGAAAGACTGGGCCCCCGGGGTGGTGGGGTGGGCATCGGACAGGGAAGTAAATAAAACTGTCGCATAGATAGCATTGGAGGCAAGCTCGACAAGCTTTCATAAAATACCCAAGTAAGGTACAGACCTTGTTTCAGAGTTCGAATCTTCAACACTGAGGACATAAGGTTTAACTAAAGTGTTACGTAATGGACAGAGTGCTGCTATCATATATAATATGGCGTAGAGGGCTGGACACTCAAAAAAACGTAGGAGAAATTAACAGAATGGAAGCATTCGAAAATGTGGCTTTCATATAATTTTAATATCGTCCGTAACCCCAAACCTAAAAATAAACCATGGACACAGCGAAAATCAACAAATATAGATGTCCTTAATAAAGAGAATAAAACCAAGAACGGGGCCCACTTTTTCGAAAACCATCAAGAAAGGAAAACGGCTCGTATTCTAGGTCACACATAACATGCGAAATGAAAAAATACCAGTTTACCCCCCACCTCCTTCCTCCCTCCCACCAAACTTAAATAATTCGAGGGTAAAATTGAAGGCAAGAGAGGAATGAGCCGCAACGAAAAAATGTCCAGGCCTCCGAAACATAAGGAAAAAATCAAATGTACAGGGATTAACGACAAACAAATCACAGATTTACACTATTAATTGCCAGAAGATAGAGAAATAATGGAAAATGTGATCGCCAAACAACCAATAAAAGTTGTATATTGCATCTGAAATGAAGAAGAAGAAGAGCAGTCATTCCAGAATGGTTTTTGTTTCCTTTTCTTTTCTTCAATCTTATGAAATACCTTGGTCTAAAAATACAAATGAATAATCAAATATTAGTTTAAGACCTTTGATTAGAAGATTTATTTTCACATTTCCTGCAAAGTACTTTACATGTAAAGCAGTAGAGGCAATTTCTATCGGGCTCCTCATGTAACACAGTGATGTGAATTTTATGATTCTCCATTTGATATTTATGTAGATGGTTGAGTGCTCAAGGTAAAATACATGTTTGAGTGCGATTGGGCTTTCTTCCCCCTAACAGAGTTCAGTTATATATCCTGTAATGATTAATCATTCAGACTCATGGACCAGAAGCACTGAATACATTTTTGATGGATATCAACTGTAAAGAATAATCAATCAAATTCAGCATGAAAAAGAAAACAACTTGGTTTTCCCATTCATGGAAATGCCTGTCCAAAACATAAAAGAACCGCTTCATATTAGCACCAATTTCTCATATACAAAATAAGGAGTCAAAATGCCTTCTCTGGCCAACTATAGACTCGACGCCTCTCTTGTCGATGCCATATAGAGAATGAACCTACTTTCGACAGAGAACAATTATCTTACTCCATTGATAAGTCGTCCCAATCCAGATGTTCACGAGCAAACTCTAATCGCCTTTGCATCTAGACTGCAGTTAGCTTGGGACACGTAGCTGCCCTTTTTGGTGTCAGGTCGGCTGCCCTCAGTCTTTTTTTTGACTGTCCAAACGCGGGTAACCACACCTTGGACTTCTCTAAGCTATTCTTTAAGTTCAGCACTAGTCAAATGTCGATTTCTCATGGATTTAGATACAAGAAATCGAACATCTCTCTCAGTTTTTATTCGTTTACAGCCTCTTCCTTGTTAGAAGATATAATCACCAGTATCTTGGTACCAACGATATACTCGGAACACAGCAGACTGGCTTAAATTTAGTTGATGTGCCACTACTCTCTGGCTTTAGGCCTTCTCTAAATAATGCTACTGCTTGAGATGCTTTGACAGATGTGGGATTCATTTGTAATGCAGTTACGAACTTAAGTGACTATGTATTAGTGGGTTACTATAGAAATTGATGCATACAATGTTAACTGAACGCGTTAAGTTGGTATGGTGTGTGTCGATTTCAATAAGACAAATGCTGACCCCCTCTCTACTTATGTGTTGCATTATTTTTTTTTGTAATATGTATCTCGATTCACCAAAAACAAAATTTTTTTTTTTAACTCTATAATGAGGCTAATGATTGTACCCTAAATAGTTTGAATCAATTATTTTGCACTCAAGTGTATATTGATACTGTCAAAGTGTAAGTATATTGGTGCACACTGCAAGGGTCATATGTTAAAAGAATTTCACATAGGATTAGATCTTGCAAAATAGAGTACATAGTTAATAAGATCAGAACATCATGAAAAAATTTGTAATATAAAAAAATATGACTGAAGAACAGAAGGAAGGCTATCAATATTTTGGGATAGATCAGCTACTTGTTTTGTGCAATTAAATCAGTTTCCAGATCCTGGACAGAAATTATTCAATTCTCAAGATGTGTGCTAAATAAATAGCAACTCTGGTAAAGTAAAGTTTGTAATACTTTAAAAAGTATTTTAGTAAATTAATTTTAATAAGACATTTATAAGATAAAATAGAATACATACCAGTTAAAACTAAATCTTCATCTGGATGGTAAATAACCTTTGTAACTTTTTTTGTATGTCCTTTTAATATGGCAACTACTTGTTCAGTATCTTTATTAAATACAGTAGCATTTTTATCATTACCACCCGTCAACACTTTACTTGTGTCTGATAAATGAACATCTAATGCTAATATACCAGGGATACTTGCTGAATGTAATCCCTGTAAAAAAGATATAATTAGAAATACTGCTGAATACTGGTACAGGTCTCTTGAAAAATGATGGACAGTCTATTCATTATCATAATTTTGGTTCACAATTGACTTCACAAAGAGATAAATATCCTGGCTGTGACTAAAACCTGACAAATATTTTTTAGATAAATTCAGCTTACTTCAAATTTCATGATGAAAATGAAATGAAGTCTTTTGCATGCGCCTATAATAAAAGAAAATACTTAATTCCCTCTCATCAATTTGTTTTGGTAGAAAAACACAACCATATGTTAACAGGTGCCTAGAATCTCACAAATCATTGGAAAGGCATTATAGAAACGAGAAGTTTGTTCTGCTCTCTTCCTAGATATGGACTAGGCTGTTGATAAAGTTTAGCATGAGGGCCCAAATTACATGTTAAACTTATTACTCAGTTGCCAGTATTCAGAAATATTAAAACCTTATATATCAGACAGTCATTTTAGAATAACACAAGAAGATGCACAGTCAAATACTATTTAACTGGGAATACGCCACAATTATAGGGTTCAAGTATGTTTATTGACATTTCAATTTCCACTTTAGAAATAGTTCTCAAAATAAACATACTTTAACTTTTAATTGTGGCTTATTCCCATTTAAATAGTAATTACTTTAAACATGCCACAAGAAAATAGCTTCAGAACAATATTAAGAAGATTCATATTCTGACCTAACTAAATTAAGGCAGGAGTACCACAAAGTAGTGTACTAGGCCGAATATTTTACCTACTGTACACCAGTGATATTCATAACCTTCAACACAATGCTATTGCAATGACTGTTGATGATAATGTATCTGGCTGTTGCGAAGGACCATGGAAAGCTCACAGGAAATTGCAAGCACCCATAAATCAGATTTGGACCAACACATGGCATATAGAATTGAATGAAAGTAAATCTATCCATGTCAATTTTACTAATAAAAAACCCAATGTATCCACATACAAATAAATAATATTTAGTTTTCCTATGATAATACAGTATTTTGAAGATGACACTCAACACTAGACTTTGGTTGATATTAAGAAAGATGAAGAGCTTGGGTAAACATAAAAAGATGTATAGGATACTAGGAACATACTCCAAAATGTCTACACATAATAAGCTGCTCCTAGACAAACAGATATTGAAATATAAAGGGACAATTACCATTGACAATATCATACCCAAATCTGCCAGTAGTCAACAGAGGAACATAACAGTTATGCAGCTTCTTGATAATACCCATCTGGTAACAAAACTAAAAAGGACCAAGCCTTTTTTTTTAAATTCGTTCAGAGAAAGTTAAAAGCACAGTATTATGCCGTTTTTATTTATCACTTTAGTGGTAGTGTTAATAGAAATTAGACTTATAGGTACAATAGTGAGTAGGGAGGACCTTAAGCATTAAGAATTGTACATGTAAGGTTACAACAAAATAGCTTATTAACCTTGTTGATTACATTTTAATTGTAAGAAAACATTCTGAAATGTTTTCATACTCAAAAAAATTAGTTATACCACCCATTATCACTAATTATTGTTGGTAGTTTACCACTTTTTCTAGTTCTGTAGTTTATTTAGTTTTGATTTGTTATCACTTGATCTTAATGTACTTTTATTTGTTAATTTCCATATGTTTTAAAATAAAATTTAAAAATTATAGTATATGCCTTTCACTTTCATAATTACAGGTGTTATATATAAAAACTAGGCGTCTTTTAAATAAAATTACATCACTGATAAATAAGGGCATGTGGTTAAGCCAAATTAGTGCCAGACTAGCACTCCTAAAGAAAAATTAAATTAAGAAGCTGTTTTAAAATATCGGTGCAACAAAGCACACCACCAAAAATTTTTTTCCCTCTCTGTTATTTTAACCGACGAAATGTCCTCGAAATTTGGACATGTTATACGAAATTATGTTGCCTTTAAACTGATGGTTTTACTTTTTTTATTTTTTTGAATTTTCTGTTGAAAAATTGGATTATACTGTTTAAACGTTCTATTATAACCAAACTTTTCACGCCCAATCAGTTGAAAGAGTTTTTTTTCTGTAATCGTTGATTCTTTTTTCACCTTTCTGTGTCCAGTAATAATCGAGAAAAGCGTATTCAAACTTTGAAGAAAATTGCTAAAAAATACTGAAATCTAATAGTGAAACGTGTTCCTCATCATTGTTCGCTGAGCTTGATCGTTAATCGCATTAGTGACGTCAAATCACATGAGCGTACGGTACGGTCTTATTTTTATTCTCTATGGGTACGGTCCAGTAGTTCGCTTGAATTAGAATCCATTTTAGTTCTTTCATTCTTGTATTTTCTTATCAACTTGCTTAGTTTTTACAGTTTACAGTATTCTTATTTATTTTGAAAACATTGAAATTATTTAGTTTACGTGTATGTTAAGTAATATATTATTAAGTTTAAGTGTAGAATATAAAAAGTTCTTTAGTTTACGCGTATTTTTAAAGTATTACATTAGGTTAGTGATAATAAGTTATAAGAGACAAGATAAACAAAATGAGTCCCAAGTAAAACGTCCTATGTCAAGGAAAAGGAGAGCCAATTGCACTTGCTATCATGAGTATTCTTATTACTTTATATTAACAACCGTTTTTTAAAAGCTTTTATTTAACTGCAATGCAAACTACTTTCAAATATGGAGATTATCAAAGAAAAATGGACGATGATAAGTACATTAACTTTTAAATGTCAAATGTGGACATATTGAAAAGGAGATAGCAACATAGGAATTCTGGTAACAATTCACTGAACTTGAATGGTTCTGGTTATGCAGACATACAGCACAGCAGCACGCTGCAATTAAGATACGCTGTGATTTCCTACAGGCAGTATGCAAAACATTACCGGAAACAGTTGCAGATCATCATCGGCGCAAACACTTTGTGATTCCTTAGAAGAGGCTGGAACGGGAGGAATTAGCTTTAGCCAAAGAAATTGGTGAAGTACATTCCGACGGAAATGAGGTTTATAACCGATTACAGCTGATGTGCTTGGTCAAAAAGATCGTATAAAGTAAACTACGATGCTTCATTCAGGTGTAGTAGCTGACGTTGTAAAATTTATTAAATTAGTACGCCCAGTTGATGGATAGGAACATGTAATTAGGCGAGATGAAGATGAAACGATCAGAAAAATTTTTCGACCGAAGAGGACCAGTGGGAAGGACGACCAGAGGAAGACCAAAACTTAGGTATCAAGATAACATAGAGGATGATCTAAAATCCATCAGAGTTAAAGCATGGAGAAAGTTGCCAGAGGCAGGGGCGAATGGAAGATTGTTCTGAAGAAGGCCTTTGGCTCATGACGATTCTGAAATGCCACTGATATGATGAAATAACTATCCACGATTTGTGTTTTATTCATCAATTGGATACTTTTCTTATGTAACTGCAACCTATACAATATATTAAAATATGTAATAATTCCATTCAGGAACTTTTTCCTCGCAGTGGCGTCGCCTCGAAATACTTGCCAGATAAATATAATTACCTATTTATGATGGTTTCGCGGTGGGCTCACCAATATTTTTATAGATAAATAAAAGATATTTTTAGATTTAATTTTTATTACGCTAAATAACTAGTTTTTCTCTAACCAATATTACCAAAAATATTAATTATATATTAATATTAATATAACTAAAATTTTAAATTTATTATAATATAAACACCAAGGTGTTTTTTGCAGTCAACGGTATCACAAATTACTTATTTCAATAACTATGTTTAGCTAAGACATACTATATTAAAATGGTGATTATTTCTTTTGGAAAACATTCTCTTACGGTAATTCATCTAAAAAAAAAGTCATTCCGACAAAACCTAATTTGAATGGAGACTAATGCATTTATTTTACACCACACCGTGGGCCGCGGCCGCACTTTCAGAATAAACATCACAAACATTATTAGAAACGCATATTAGGAAGACCAGCTAGGGTCTGTGAACATAGCAGTGTAGAAAAGTAAGGTGTGATACGCCCCACTTCAAATCGCAGTATGCTTAACTGCGAAAACAGCCTTAATAATCTCTGTTTAGCAATAATGATATTTTTTCATTTCTTTTATCATGGTTTGCTCTCTCCTACCGAAAAAACTTTTGTTAAGATCAGTGTTGACTGAGCTGACATGTTTTTATCATATACAGTTGGTTTTAAGAGATCTCTACATAAATATGTATATTTTTATAAATTTCGGAAATATAATACTATTTATTTTCGTTTTGTTTGTTTTTTAACTTACTAATAAACATAATAAAATGTGGTTTTGTTGTATATTATGTAAAATAAAATATAAATTTGAGATTCAGTTTTCTTCTGTAACTATTCATCAGTATTGAAATTGTCTTTATACCTTAAATCTGAATCAGTCTGAATTTTTTGTCTTGATTTAAGTGGGAAGTTTGTTTGAATTACCATCTGCTAAAACTACTCTTTTACAGCCCCTTTGAAATAATTATAAATTTCTTGTACATTTTGTAATTTCCAGCTAGATAATTATAGGAAGATTATTTGTTTATATAACACAATGACAAATATAACATATTGAAAATTGACAAATCCTTCTACACAGTATAAGATATAAATAAGTTACAAAATATGTAGAATTGCTCACACAAATAATTGTATTTACCAAAATTGGCTTACTTCCGTTAGTTGTCACCTCAACATTATTTTATAGTTAAGATCTTTGCTAATCTGATTCTTACAATTTTTGTCAGTACAGAGTTTGTCAAAAAAGGGGCAAAAAGATGCTCTAGATATTTTAACAGGAAGCATGTCGCTATATGGGCCTGGAATAGATAATACTGTATGAGTATTAAAAATAAATAAGTGTTCTTTTAATATGTTTTTCTCAGAATAATTTTTTTCAAGTTGGTGTTTACACTGTATCTGAAAAACTACTTGGTCAATCCTTTTTAAATTTTGCACACTTCTTTTATAGACAGATTACTAGGCTGTGACATCGAGATATTGTCCATTTTGTTGTTATAAACTATTAATTTTACGGCATCAAGTTAGTCAAATTTTATATTAATAAAATAAACTAACGAAATCTTTTTGTTTTTTTGTCAACAGATGATCCAGTTATAAGTTATGTTGAACATAGGAAAGTAACTTTTTTTTCATCTTGGAAAATTATCTGTAATTTTCTTGATTTTTATTATTTTTGTACCAAAATTTCAGATAATACTCTTGAAATGTTGTACTATATGTACTGTACTGTATGTTATAAATAAATTTATATTACACAATTTTCCAAAAAAAGTCTTAAAAATATGTTTAAAATATTGAAAGTAAACCATACCCCCTTAATAATGAACTTATTTAAACTTACAATAAGTGAGGATAATGTTCTGAAGTTTCGTAACTGCTCAGGGGTCGTCAAATCTTCAGGTACAGTTTTTCCCTTCTGCTTACGTTCTAATGTCAATACTGTAGCTTTTTCCTGTAATTTTTCTATGATTTCTTCACTCATACCCGCTTGTTCAGTTGGTTGATTTGCTACACCTGCAGCTTCAGCAGCTACAGCCTAAAAATACACAAAAAAAATCTCAAAGCATTTTAAAGTGTTGTTGATAAGAGTTTTTTCATAATAATAAGTTTGTGCTTTAAACATGTTATATTGTCACAATATATTCAGTAAAAATTATAATGATTAACAAATATTTTTAATAATTTTCAAAGTTATAAAATAAAATAATATATTGTTAAAAAATGAAGTTTACGTTATTACTTTAAAATTGAAAAATAACTAATAGGTAGATATTCATGGAAACATTCAGCATTTCGGCCATTTAATTTATAAATAGCATCTGTATATAAGTGCCTTTCCACATAAATAATTCTAATGGTTAACTTAGTGCAACATAAAATTATTGAAATATTAAATTAGTTATATACATACTGGCTGTGGAACTGTTGTAATTCCAGCTTGAGGTTTAAGTGTAGCAAGGGCTTCTCTTGCAGCTGTGACTTCTTTATTAAGCCTGGCAATTACTCTACAAGCTGCATCATGTTGGTACAGGGCATGACTTAATTCTTGTCTAGCTGTTTGAAGTTGTTGTCTTTGTGTAAAACTATATAACATAACAGCATCCCATTCATCTTGTAAAAGTTTTAAGGTTGCGGGAATGCTAGTTGCACTAGGTGGTTTGGGTTTAACAACAGGGGGAGCTACAAGAAATAAAATTAGAATTTCTTTTAAAAACTAATTAAAACATACTTTTGATTTCAATTAAATCATCGATTGTCAGTTCTTTGCCACTAATAGGATCCACGCCATTTTCTTGTATGTATTTTTCGATTATTCTTTTTTCAAATATCGCACCCGACGATGGAGATACCACAGGGTATTCTGGAACTTCATTTGAAACTGAAAACAAATTTTAAGGTTAATTTTTGCCGGCGTCCGATTAATGAAATCAGTTATTTATAAAAAATAAATTATATTTTATTGCTGAATAAAACTTAAAAAATAATAGTCAAATACGAATAATATCATTAATAAAAAATAAAATACTAACTGGCACAACACAACGCCATTTTATCTACAATTCTTTGACAGGGTGTAATTCTTCTTTTTTATTTTTCTGTTGATGAATTTTGCAATCAAAGTACCTGGTTTAATATCTCTGGCTATAACAGACCAAATATTTAAATTGTGTTGTTGGTAACAATTATTGACCAACATTTAATTTTAAATCCAGTAGGCCCTTTTGTATGATTTTTATGAAGAAAGTGTTTCCAAATTATTACATTTTTACGATTAAACATTTAATAACCACTTGTTACTTAGTACATACTTATTAAAATACTTAAATATGGAAGCGTTAAACAATGATCACATCATGTTAATATTAAATAAAATGAAATCTAGTGTAAATGAAACTTACCATCAGAAATGGACAGCCGAAGCAGGATCAGAATGTAAGTACCTAAGTATATAATTATATCCTGAAAGTTCAAATAATATATTACTGAGATAATTTATAAAAATATTCATTCATTTAGCCTATCAAATCTAAGTAGGTATGTAAATTTTTTGTTTTTTTTAAAAGAAACCTGATACTCTCATTATTACAATTTGTTATATCATCACAAACGCTTGTGGTCAACTTTGGTAATTAATAGACAACAGTTGATATTTTGTATTTAAAAATAAAATTTTTAAATATTCTTTATGGTTTTGTGCTAGTAAGATTACGTTAGGACGCAAAACTAACTTGTTATTTACTCTCATTAGTGCTACATTAAGGTGATGGGGCAACAGGGCAATTTTAAAGTGATATCTCTTGGTGTTTAGTCTAGGGTATGCTCTTGATATGATATTTGTAGGAAATACTTAAAAAAAATTAAAAGTAATAGTTTTATCTGCATATTAAGTACTTACATAAATTAGCATGCTTGAATAGATGGGAAGAGTAATAAAAATTATAAAATTAAAAATAATTTTATCAGAAGAGGTTGAATTGTTACATCAATTGATGTTGAAATAAGAGAGGATTGTTTAAATTGGTTAGGGCATGTTCAACAAGAATTGATAAACACCCAATGCGACGAATCACTGAGTAACCAGTTCCTGTGAGGGTAGAAGTGGAATTCAAAAGAATCAGATTGACACTATTTAAAGTCGTTAGTGACAAGTTTTTGGAAACCGAGAGTGCTCAAAATAAAAAAATATATTCGGGTCGTTTACACCTGGAGAAGAAAAATAAATTCAAATTATTGGTTAATTATCAACACTCCGTTCTCGCCCAGTTATTCTGAATTGTGGCTATCCGCATTTGACCGCGACGAGAGTAGTTGTTGTTGTTGTTTGTTTGTGTTTAAATGACTGCGGACACTAAATCTAACTAAAGGTCGATTCAGACACATCAGTCACGTCTCGTCACAGTCATATCGCCGAACCGAACAATCCGTCATACAAAATATTCTTTAATAGAAATATGGCGCCGGCATTCACATTCATCAGTTGACGAACAGTTTGCCAGCTGTCAGATAGTTGATAGTTCTGTGACCAAACAGGACCGGTTCGGCGCCGAGACTGTGACGGGACTGATGTGTCTGAAATCAACCTTAACTAAGCTAATTGTATCCGAACGTCTGCGGTCCCTCCGGTGTGTACCGATCACACAAGGATAGAAATTATTTTCATTTATTAATTTTTTTAATAAACGAAAATTTCCACCCAGGTGGGATTCGAACTCACGACCTTTAGCTTTAAAGGCAGGCGCTCTTACCACTGAGCCACAGAGGGGGACGAGAGTAGTTAAAAAAGTTTTATTTTTATAAATTTATGATGATACAAGAACTAGCCGAAGGCAATTTCCAAGGCTAAAAAAGAAGGAAATAGTGGTAGAAATGAAAAGAGAAGGAAATAATGGCAAATGACATTGCGCAATCTGAAATATTTATGTCATATTTGTTTTATTGATAAAGCCACTTTTTTTGATTGGTTTAAGGTCGATTCAGACACATTAGTCCCGTCACAGTCCCGACGCCGAACCGGTCTTGTTTGGTCACAGAACTATCAACTATCTGACAGCTGGCAAACTGTTCGTCGCCTGATGAATGTGAATGCCGGCGTCATATTTCTATTAAAGAATATTTTGTATGACGGATTGTTCGGTTCAGCGCCAGGACTGTGACGAGACGTGACTGATGTGTCTGAATCGCCCTTAGTCAGACAAAAAGTTTCTAATAAAACTGACTGACCGTTAAGTAATTTGTGTGCCACCGTATGATAATTTGATTTTTAGATGTAGGTATTTAGTTTTTTTGATGATAGATGAAACGATATCAGCGACGCATCAGCGTATTTATGCGTGCATTTACGCCTCGGTATCGTTGAACCAGAACGTGAAGACTGAATAATGCCTTCCTAGTTCCCAATTAATTTACAACTCTAAAATGGTTACTACTTATATTTTCTGTTCCAGTTTTTTTTTATAAATACTACTATGCATTACAAAAACGTTGAAAATATTTTTGTGGGTCAGTACTCATTGTTTTAGGATCTCGATACTCATATCGATAGCATTCATTTTATTTCGCAGAAGAATCAAAGTGGACTGTAATCAATCGTTCAGAATATTAGTATTATATTCAACTTTCAACTATTCATATTTCAACTATTATAACTTTCATTATCTGTCCCAGGCATGGACGTATAAATAAAGGTCTTTATTTATTTATACGTCCATGGTCCCAGGTATTCGCTTACTGTTTCTAAATGTATGTAGTTCTCTTAATGTTCGGTGTATTTGTCAATATTTTTCTTTTTTCCAAGTTTATCTTAAGACCTACTTTTTCCGAAGCTTGAATTAGTTGCGTCATCATGGTCTGTAGTTCTTCAAAACTTATAGCGAGTATTATAATGTCATCAGCGTATCTCACGTGACTCAGTTTTCTTCCATTAACATTTATTCCTTTATCTACCCCGTTAATGTCTTTGAACACGTCTTTCAGTTCAAGTGTGAATAGCTTTGGTGAGATAATATAAGTTCAAGTGATATTCACTGGCTTTCTCTATTAGCGTTCTGACTGTAAGAAAATGATCCGCTTTACTGTAACCCTTTCGGAATCCTGCCTGCTCTACTGGTTGATAGCTATCGAGCTTCGACATTAACGAATTGTTTACACTTTAGACATTTTTGTTAAGTGTTAAACATTAATCTCCAATTTCATCTAAATCCCATTTATATTTGATGACTTCCATTTAAATCCTTTTGTGTAGATGGAATGTCTAATGTTCTGATCCCATTATTCTGTTTACCTTTTACTCTTGAGAAAACCATTCTTCCGCTTTCTTCGTATTTTACTATTTATTTTATTGCATTCTTCAACTGTACATGTTATTGTTTCCACAAGATCTAACGTTTTATTCAGTCATTCACTTTTTTTTATTTTCGTAGGGTTTTCTTTAGATCATTAATGACAATGTTTTATTTTTTCTTATTTTATTTCAGTTTTTATAAACTCGTATTAGATAATCTTCATGTAAACTTTAAAATTTTTTTTAATTTGCTCATATTATCAGTATTTATTTTTTGTCATTAGCTTTGCTGTTTTTTGTCCTTTGTATATAATATTATATATATATATATATATATATATATATATATATATATATATATATATATATATATATACCGGTATTTAGGCGGCACGCCCTTCCGGTAGGGATCTATGGTGGAGTATAACCGAGACGCGCAAGCCCTTATCTCTTGCCGTACTGCTCCACCATAGGCCGATCAGACACCAGCATATTCTAGTCTAAGCCGCAGATTCATCTAGAATTTTAAACTGCTGCGTTAGCCTTTTTGTTTTTCTGTACACCGAGCTGGGGATCGAGCGCACATCCACTGAACCACTCGCAGTGAAGCGAATGAGAACCGGCCGCCCAGCCCGCTTGGCTATCTACCTTTGTCCTTTGTCTGTTTCAGTATTATACTTGGTAAATTGTGGGCTTACAGGTCTGATCTTCGGGAGAGTCCGTTCCAGTGTAAAGCTCACGAGCCTATTTGTTGAACGCTAAATATTGAAACCAATATTTATCTTTTTGCTGGAGTTATCGTAAATCAAACATCTGTCTTCAAAGTCGACCTCTGTCAACTAATTGTCTTATCAGTTGTTCGAAATATTTTTTAGCCATTGATCATCGAAATTGATTTCTTGTAACCACATACAACAGTTTTATCCTTTTAATACATGACTCGTTAGTATTCCTTTCTTGGCCCTGGTAAGCAATTCGATGTCGTCCAGTTTGGGGTCCAATAAAAACCAATACAAATATTATCCGACATGGACCTATATATCATTCTCTTTGCCTGTATCCATATGTAAGATCGGCTTCGCTAATTACATTTCTCCATAATTTTTTATCTTGGGTCATACCAATATCAATCCCCTTTACCGGCATGTTCCACCTAAGTGTTTCTTTCCAGGAACCCGCAAATAAGCAATTCTTTATATTGGGTGATTATTGTCTCGACGATGAACATGACAAAACCATCTTAAACTATGCTCTCTTATTTTGGCATCAATTGGTGCCACTCCTAGACTTCCTGCAATATACTCATTCTTAGTTGTATCCTTATTTTGTCACTCCACTCATCCATCTAAGCATTCTCTTTTCCGCCACATGCATTCGTTGTTCCTCTTTCTTTTTAACTGCCCAACATTCACACAGGGCCGATTGTTCGAACGCTAATCAAAACTTGATTGTAATCAAATATTTAATTACAATCAAATACGTCACAGCAGCTGTCAAAATTATTAAAAATTGCTTAATATTATTATTTATTTGTAAATAAAAACATGAAATTAACATCAGAAAGAGTTTAATTATGGTTTATTTTAAATTAAAACACAAAATAATAAAATTGAATAAAATAAATCAGTCAACATAACCTCAAAATCTGACGTATTTGATTTTAATTAAATATTTGATTACAGCCAAGTATTGATTAGCGTTCGAACAATCGGTCAGGTCCGTAAATCATCGCTGGTCTTATGGATGTTTTATAGAATTTTCCCTTCAACAAAAAACATCGGTGTGTGTGGGAGCCGGCATAGTAGAAACAAATCAAGGGATACATTTCCGATAAGTCTATCTAAGTATTTGACAGTTTTTCAGGCGGAAATAACGACAATTCATCACTGCGTGAAAAAAATAGAAAGGCAGGAAAAACCTTCCGTTCAGTTGCCATCTTCACAGATAGTCAGGCAGCACTTAAGGCACTCAATTCTGTAGAGGTCAATTCTAAGCTAGTATGGGAGTATATGTGTATACATACACAATAATAAATAGAAATAAACTAGGAGACCGTAGCAGGGTTACGGTAGCCTGGGTACCGGGGCACGAGGGTTATAAGGGCAACGAAAAAGCAGATGAAATGGCCAAACAAGATTCATCAATGCCATTCATTGGACCGGAACCCTTCTGCGGCGTTGCAAAGACAGTAACAAGAATGACTACAAGAAAATGGGTAGCTGACAAATCTCTGGAATGGTGGAGGAATTCACCAGGACAAAGACAGGCGAAACAGTTTATTACAGAACATTCGCCAAAATTTACGGCAGTCCTAATAAGCAAAGGCAGTCTCACAAATGTGTAGTTTTTTGCATTATTAGAAGAAAATTCACCCGCAAATAGCTACGTCGACGGTACAGTCTCGACGCTATTAGACTTTTTAAAAAGGGTCAGGCTAGAGAATGTTATATAGAACTAAAGAGGTTATTTTATGGGTTATTTATTAAAAACCTTAAAAGCCACATCAATAGACAAGTTTTCGGTCAGCATCACAGTATTAAACGAAATTAGTCTATGCTGGCCCCAAAATGGGTAAAAACAAAAAGACCACAATAGATCTGAAAATGTCGCAGTGAAATAGACCAAAAGACCACCTCTCTAAATCTATCTATCTACTCATTCTTAATTTTATCATTTTTTGTCACTCCACTCATCCATCTAAGCATTCTCATTTCCGCCACATGGGTATCTTGGTAACCATTTTCATTACTGTCTTAGTTAACTCAACTGGTTTTCTGTCAAATTCTTGATATAACAAACTGTCAAAATACTTTTTTCCATTTCTTTTTCACACCCTTTTCGTGAACTAGTATTTTTTATTATTTTCAACTCGTATACATCGTATACATCTCATCTGATAAACATGTGTTACTTTCTATGCCCTATGTTTGAATATTTTATATATTTTTGTTCTCCTTCCCTGATATCAAATTGATCGTATAGATTTGTATACGCTAATGCTTTAGCTTTACAACCATTTCGGGGTTTATTGTCTGAATCATGACCATGTTATTCTTAAGAGTAGTTGCCTACTATCAGTGTTGAGACAGAACTACACTAGCCAGATGTTTCTGTTCAGTGGCCCGCTGGAGAAATAATCTGGCACGGCCTATTTTTGTCGATAGAGAATGTGATTCCCTTTAACCCTTTGATGAAGCATTATTTAAATTGACATTAAATATTCAATTGATTAACTATCCCGTGTAGAGGAAATCAGAGAAGATATTTTCCTAATAAAAATGTACGTCATCTGAAATAGAGGTAGACCTGCTCGTGGATTTTTTCGATAGTTCTCAATTATTTTTTTATGAAAATAATACTATTTTGTATAAGTGTAATTTAAATTGTAACTTTATAACTGTAATTAAATTACTAAATTATATTTTTTAATAGGTTACAAACAGGACATTGTGAAGTTAGATTTTAAAATAGAGTATTTAAAGAACGACATTGCACGAATTGAAGAAGATATAAAAGAAATTACACCTCAGATTGAGATGTTGGAGGACCAATATAAGATGTAAGTTGTCATTTTGTATCGATAGCAAAATAAAAACCAAAGTTGCATAACAAATTCTATATTTGATGTTTCGATTCTTAGAAGAAAAAGAATTACAAAATACATTTGTTAAAATTAAATAAACCGTCTTAATTTTTCATCATCATAATTAACTCGAAAATCGTTTGTGTGATAAGTCGTCACTCCCGTCGATTCCTCGAAGAACTTTTCTTCATCTTCTGACCCTTAGGTCTTCAGCCTTAAGCTTTTGTAAATGTTAAGCTTTACTGCACGTTTTTATGTTTTTACAGATGTTTTTGAATATCATGGAGAGTTCTGTTTGCTATTGCTATGTGTCTTTTTACTTCATAGCTTGTCGTGTTTATTGTGTTTACTAGTGATCCAAGATAATTAAATTCTTTTACTTGCTCAAAGGTATAGTTGTTAATTTGGATTCCCTGTTGAGAGATTTTAACAACCAACATCTATTTCGTAAACTTTGTAAAACACTGCACAATAATACATGATTTAGCAAAGAGCGGGAAGTGACTAATCAACACTTAGACAAGGAACAGGTCTGTTTCAGATCAACACTCTTAGAAGGGTAAGGAGCTGCCACTAGATCCACACTCTAGTAGAAGCTGTTAACCCTCGGTCAACTCTCTAGGGCCAGTGATGTTGGTCCCAGATCAACACTCTGATAGAATTTCGTACGGTTGCCCTTTGGCTCGGTGAAGGTCTCACCAGATCAGCACTCCGTTGGAACTCAATTCTGTCTTGCGCGTACGCTGTTTTGTACCGTTGCCTGTCTTCCACCTCCGGCGCCTATTAATGGAAGTGGAATTTAGGGGTGGGAGTACTTGCGTCCAGACCAGCGCAGCGATAGCTGGCGATGCACATCGTTACAAATTGATTTTCTGATAGGTAATACGCATTGGTAATGTCCAACAATATCCTTTGTAAAGAGTTTAAGTCTCTCAAAAATTGCATTGCCGAATATTTTATATACATATATAATATGTATTGGACCGTGTTATAAATAATAACAACAGTATAGGAAACACTACCGACTTTAATTATCACTCCAAACATAATGCAAATAAATATACATAAGTCAATATAAGGTTGAATGTTCGAATAAATGAACTTTGATGGTACACAAGCAAATATCGAACACAGTATTTAATCAAATCTTGCCCAAGTACTTTCGATCACAAGATCATCTTCAGGGCATTTCGTCAGTTGTGGCCTATCCAGCAGTAACAGAATGTCATAAATGTAAATTGGGACATAACAAATACACTAAACAAAGACAAACAAACACTTAAAAATTTAAAATTGGAGAAGCTACATTTTATATAGAAGCCGGAGACAGAATGATTAAAATATACATTAATTAAACGATCGTTCCGTCTGTCTCGTCTCGAGTTTCTTCCTAGCTGATTGTGACGTAACCGCACTGCATGGTTGCTAATACATCACACGTCTCGCTCCTGGATGAATCTACTTTTAATAGTCCTCCAGATACCTTGGAGGTTTTCTTATGGAGGTGGCTTTTTAACTTCAGCGGCCAGCTCTAGAATTTCTGGTTCTGGGTCTACAAATTCGTTTGGATGCAGAAACATCGGTTGAGGAGTTACCATTAATTTTGTTTCCATCGAGGTTTACGGTGTTACTTCGTCTGTTGTTTCTTGGTCACACACACGTTTCTGATTTAGTCAGAATGACGACGTAAAATTTTACCATCAGGGGTTTGAATTTTGTAGCTTAACGGTCCAGTGGTTTCAATTATTTTGGAAGGAAGCCACTTTTAACCACATGGAACAAATGATGATGCAAATACAGTCTTGTTTTCTTGAAAATATCTGGGTACTGTTTTGTAAGAATCTTTCATCTCTTGCTTAGATAACATATCTTTTCTAAAGTCTAAACAATCAAATAATGAGCCCAATTTTCGCCCCATTAATATTTCTGATGGGCATCTCCCTGTTGTACAATCGGGTGTGATGTGCTAAGTAAGGAGATATTTGTGCAATGCTAAAACTGTATTTTAGTTTCTTTATTACTATCTGTTATTTTTTTAGTGATTTTTTTTAAATTTTGTACCATGTGTTCTGCTTGATCATTACTACTTGGATGGTACGGTGCAAGCAATGCTGTCTAATAAGGTTTTTTTTTAAATCTTGGAACTCAGCTGACGTAAAACAGGTTCCGTTATCTGATACAACGACATCTGGGATGCCATGAGTGGCAAATAAACCACGTAATACATATAGCACAATAATATTGAAGATTTAACCACAACACTTCGAGTACGAGTCTAGATAATCAGAAACATTTTGCCTTTAAATGGACCGAAAAAATCGAGGTGTATTCTTGTCCACGGAGCTCTGGCCCGCTCCCACAGATGGATTGGAGCCTTTTCTGGCGTGTTTCTATACTCCTGACACTCGCTGCATGTATTTACTAGGTGTTCGATTTGTTTGTCGAGATTTGGTCACCAAACATATGAGTGTGCCAGTGACTTCATTTTTACGATTCCGGGATGTGCTGAGTAGCAAATTCAGTATTGTTTTCATCCCTCCAAGTTGAACTATTACCCTTGTACCCCATAACAGACAGTCTTGATAACAGCTAATTTCGTTTTTACGTAGTATATTCGTCTAAAAATTTAATTTTCTCATCAAACCAACCTTTCCAAGCCCACTGCAAAACTTTAGATAACACTGGGTCTTTCTTGGTCTCATTTTCAATGTCTTTGGCACATATTAGTTTTTCTGGGATGTTCTCAAGCATCAAAACGTCATTTGAGCTTGGTGGTTCTGGCGCATGTACCTTTTGTGGCAATCTGCTAAGAGCATCTGCATTCTGAATTTTTGAACCTGGTACGTAACATAATTCGTAATCATAAGCAGATAGCATAAGAGCCCATCTAAGTAGTCTGGGTGACACTATCTCTGGAACACGTTTTTTTTTTGGTTTAAAAATACCCAACAATGGTTTATGGTCTGTTCTTATGCCTATTTTCCTGCCATATACATATTCATGGAATTTTTTAATGCTCGATATTATGGCCAGTGCTTTTTTATCAATTTGGGAGAAATTTCGTTTAGTAGATGATAGAGTACGGCTATGGTACGCCACTGGATAGTCACGTCCCTAATCATCACGTTGACTAAGCACACAACCTACCCCATAAGGGCTGGCATTACACGTCAAAAATAAATCTTTTTGTTCACTGTAATGTCCTAACAAAGGTTCTTTCGCTAAAATTTCTTTTAATAAATCGAAAGCTTTTTGTTCTATGAAACGCCACCGCCAGGGAACGTCTTTTCGGAAGCAGTGCATGTAACGGATTCGCAATTGTTGCCTTGTCCTTTTGAAAAACATGATAAAAATTTAAAAGTCCAATAAAAGCTTGCAACTCGGTTATGGCCGCGATTTTGTCTTTAGTGGAGCGTAAACCGTCTTCACTAATTTGAAAACCAAGAAACTCAGAAAACGCATTTTTCTTTGCGCAAATGCAATCTGCCTTCCTGGAAACGCGATAATAATGCGCGCACTTCTGAATCCAAGTCTATTTCTGAACTACCGACTATTAAAATGTCATCGTAATAAGTTAGTACACCTGGAATACCCGTTAATCTAGTGTCTATGAATTTTTGAAAAATTTGTGGAACCACTGATATACCGAACTGTAAACAATTACATTTAAAAGCCCCTTTATGCGTAATTATTGTTTGTGCTTCAGCAGCTCGCAGTTGACACTTAACTGCAGATAAGCTTGCGCCATGTCCAGTTTTTGCAAAAATTTACCACTAGCAAGTGTGCATAAGATACCCTGTAGATATGGCACTGAATAAGGTTCCGGATTTAACGCTAAATTCAATTTGGAATTTTATTGTCACCACAAATCCTAACCTCCCCGTTTTCTTTGCAAACAGTTACAATTGGGGTGCACCATTTTGGGTACATTTTGGGCGTAATCGGCTCTAAAACCCCTTTCGCAATAAGCCTGTCCAATTCAACTTCGATTTTGTCTTTTAGCGCAAATGGAACTTTATAAGCTTTACGCATAACCGGCTTTAACATTTTTGTCACAAAAACTACTGAGGCCCCTAAGATCCCAAATCTGTATTAAATACATCTGGGTATTCTTCTGAATAATTAATCATTGATAAAATTTTACTTACCCCAGCTATGTTTAAACCTAAACTATCAAACCAGTTTCTGTCGAGTAGACTGGCGCGATTGCCTTCAGTGACTATGAGAGGAAGTGTCGCTGATCCTTTAACTCTCTTTACCTCCATTTGACACTTACTCAGTGTGGGTATCACTGTGTTTTGATATTTCAGTAAAATAACACTGGATTTATCCAGTTCCAGTATCCATTTATTATTTTATTTTATGTCGATTTTTAAAACTTTATGGTAGGTTGATTTGCTTATCACTGGTTTATCACTTCATTGCTTACTTTCTGGTGATTGAGTAGCACTTCTATTAAATATTTACCGTAATGCTATCAGACGTCACCTTCTTTAACGAAAATTTATAGTCGCTACTTTGATAAAAAATAGTCTGAGTGTTCCCCGAAACCGGCTCGGCGTTGGACGTAGATTCCACGGTAGTCTGATGTACTTCTTTTTAGCAAAACAAGCTATTTCGATTTGTCCAACTTTCCTGAAATATGTACAGGTTCATTTAATGTGTTCACAAGTTTCAGGAGAATGTTCTCTTTCGCACCGAAAACATTTCTTCCTTTCGCGATTAGCTAATTGTTGTTTGAAGCCCAGGTGATTTTTAAGAAAACTTACCGCGTTTACATCTGCGCTCGACTCACTTTCTCGTAGCACCGATAAACTTTCCACGGCCACCTGGTGTGCAAGCCACATGTCTTGCGCGTCCTTAAGTTTTAACTTATCTGTGGCTAGCAACTTTTGCTGTAGCGATTCGTCGGTAATACCACAAACGAGTCGGTCACGTAGCAATATGTCGAGGATAGTTTCGAAACCACAAGGTTCTGCCAATTTTCGTTTTCGTTTTTTCCATTATCTTGAATCGCTGAAGAACATCTTTAATGCCGCCCTCTTACATTCACTAATCCCAAAGATCTATATTTTTAATCTTTCCATTTCATTAATGACGTTGATCTGATAGCAAAGTCACACAGCGAGCTATAAGTGACATAGATAAATAATCCGCCTCATCCAAGAATATGATCACTTTTTCTGATTGGTACGTGCTTTGTACATTCTAGGTTACAATTTTCTTCATGACTGGCCTGGTGATTCTTAGTGTCTCCTTAGTCATCGAAAATCTGCTTGAGACTGAAAGCATCGTCTTTAGGTTTTTTTTTGAGGAATTTAAGTGTTGTACGTTGTGCATAGCATATACGCCGACTAATATTTTAATTCATCCTGGTGATTCTAGTTCGTCATCACAAACTGTGATGAAAGCATTCTTAGTTTTTTGAGGATGAGTGACTCCGATTTGCACCGTTATTGTTCTATAGGTACATAGAAATACGCTGACTAATAATTTTTAATCCTGCTGCTACCCAGCACTAACTTTCTACTACATTACTGCATTAACCGGTGTGTGGCACGTGATTGCTTTGTGAAATCGAGTTAGTTGAGAATTTGTGATCATCTCCAGTTTATAACTCTAATGGATAAGAATCTTTCGTACTTTTTATTGTTATATAGTTATGATTATTTCCGTACACTATGTTATGTGTTTATAGATTAATGGATACTTATTTTATAAGTCAAGAATCATTAATTTTTCAAAAATCACATATAGAATGTATAACTGAAAAAGCAAAAATGCGTAAAGAAGAATGTGATACTATTTTAAGAAAGTATACGGAACAGTTAGAAAGTCGCACAAAACATTTAGAAGAAACAAATCCAACTTTTAAAGTCTTAAGGGAATTACAAGTAGAACTAAGGAAAGAACAATTTAATATTAAAATGTTGAAATTTAAACGAAAACAACAAACATGGATTGAAGAAACAAAATCTAAAATAAAACAAAAGTTGTACTATCAAGATTTTATTCTGTTCGCCAAAGCATGGCTGGAAAAGAAAAATTATGATGAATCTATAAAACGCTTGCAAGAGCTGAGTATAAGAGAGAAGGAATTAATGAAGAAGTTGCTGAAATTCAATGAAGAATTTAAAGAAAAACAAAAATATAGAAATGCCAGAAAAGTCGATCAAAGAAATGAGGTATGTTTTCACTGTTTAAACATAATTTTTTTGGTAATTTTTTGTATTTCAGGAATCACAAGTTGCCCTAGAAAAGTTAATAACTGAGACATCATTAAAACCCAAAAATGGTAAGTGATTTTTAATAAATTTAGTCGGTTAATAAAAATAAATAATAGAAGAATATTTATTATATAAAAATATTTTTTTTTCAGATAACGATTTTTCAAAAAGATCATTGGAAAATCTAAACAATCTGTTTTTGAAACCAAATTATGTTGGCAGTTTACCTCCAGCTAAACAAATCCAGAATGTATCTAAGCTTAATATTTTGGAAAACAAAGTAATTAGACCGCGCAATGTTGAAACTACATTGGGAAATGAAAATAAGAATAAAGAAGAAAAAAGAAAGGCGTTAAGTAAAAAATTACAACAAGTCGTACATAATGTACAACATATGAAAGATAGACAGGCTTCCTTTAAAGAAAATAAGCTAAAAAAATATTCCAGTTCAAAACAAAGTTTTAAAGCTGATGGAAAAAATGAAGAGAGTGGAAACAATAATGCTGTAAGTACATTAGAATTATATTATTTCTTATTATTATGTTTAGATTGAGTTTATTACTTCTTTACAAGAAATAAAATGCAGAATAAAGAAGGCTAGGAGTGAATTTACCAACATGGCCAAACTCTTTAAAAGTCACAACCTTAATCTAAAGATAAAACTAAGGCTCCTACGGTGTTATATCTTCTCGATATTATACTACGGACTTGAATTCTGGACACTCACTGAAGCGATGGAAAAAAACTTGAAGCCTGCGAGATGTGCCTATACAGAAGAATCCTAGGGATATCATGGACGGACAAGATAACCAACGAGACTGTACTACGAAGAATGGGAAAATAAAGATAAGTGTGGGAAAGCAATGTATACGATTAAAAGGAGAAAGCTAGAATATCTCGGACACATAATGAGAAACGGCACTAAATACAGATTACTGAAAATAATCCTTCAAGGTAAAGTATTCGGAAAGCGAGGAATTGGGAAAAGAAGAAGATCATGGTTAAGAAACCTAAGAAAATGGTTCTCCACAACAACTAATCTATTTAAAGCATCGGTTCTTCTTCTCTTTCGCGTGCCATATCAAAATTATCCGGCGTTGGCGATCACCATTGCGGAGGCTTCTCGATATTCTACAATATGGAATAATTGTCCTGCATTTGGTATCTGAGTCCATTCACGAATATTTTTTAACCAGAAACTTGTTTTTTCTACACCTTTACGGCCCTGTATTTTGCCTTTAAGGATCAGTTGTAATATTTTATATCGACTTCCCCTTACTATATATCCCAGATAAGACATTTTTCGATGTTTAACAGTCTTTAGCAGTTCTCTATCTTTGTTGACGCTCCTTAGTACTTCTTCATTAGCTTTCCTTGCTATCCAAGGTATCTTCAGCATTTGTCTATGAACCCACATTTCCAATGCTTCAATTTTGTTCATGATCGATACTTTTAGCGTCCACACTTATGCACTATACAAAAGTACGGACCAAACATAGAACTTAACCATTCTTTGCCTTAGTTCTAAACTGAAATGGTTATTGCAAAGAAATTACTTTATTTTCATAAAAGTAGTTTTAGTCATTGCTATTCTACGTTTTATTTCTATACCTGTATCTAATTGGTCCGTTATCACAGTTCCCAAATATGTCATTTTGTGAACTTTCTCAACTTGGACTCCGTTTAATTGAAGCTTTGAATACGATCAAGCAGAATTTGAAGACCTTCAATATTATCAGATATAATTCTGTATCGTCTGCATAGCTAATCACATTAAGTAGTTCCCCGTTGATTTTTATTCCATATGGTTGTCTCTCAAGTGCCTTTTTAAATAACTGGTCCGAGTAAACATTGAATAATGTTGGCGACAAAATACAACCTTGTAGCATTTGCAATTCATTGATTCTTTGAAATATATTGAAATCCCCTCGTATAGGTGATATATTAAAATCCCCTCATATATGTTAAAAAATCGAAATTTTTCTTCGGCTAATTTGAGCTCCCTTTTTATTCTTCTTTGCAGGTGTCTATATTATGTTACATTAGATTTTATCAGTCGACGTTGTTCCAATAATTTCAAGGTGTCGTCTGTCATCCATTTATTTTTCTTGATAAAGTTTTTTCTATAACCATTTTTTGTGGAGATTTCGTTAACTGTGTGTTTATCTTGTAAATCTTTAAATGTTTATGAATCGTCGAAGTTCGCTGGTTTTTGGTTTTTGTCGCTGAATTCGTTTTAACCTTAGTTTAATATCTGCTACAAGTGGTTGATGATCAGATCCAATATCTGCCACAGGATATGTAATGTACATTTACAAGTATATAGTCTATTTGATTTCTTGAAGACTCAGTTTTAATGCCATCATCAAATGGGGCTTTCCAAATGTATAGTTGTTGCTTGGGTAGTTTATACCAGGTGTTTGCAATGATCATATCGTTTTATTTACAAAATTCATAAATCTCTGTCCTCGATCGTTAGGTTGTCCTAAACCATAAGGACCTACAGTCTGACATCGTCGACCTTCTCCAATTTTTGCATTGAAGTCGCCTATAATATATAGAATTTCGTATTTATTAAGTTTCTGTAAAATGTCTTGGATCTGATCATACAACTTCTCGACTTCATCGTCATATTTTCTATCTGCAGTCGGGGCATAGATTTGAAGTATGTTAGTTTTAAATGGTTGAGTATTTATTTGGAGTAATATTATTCTATCCGAGACTGGTACGAAATTGGTCACATATTTACTCAGTTCTGATGTTACTAATATACCTACACCATTTTTGTGATGCGGGTCTTCTGTGCTGTTACCGGAATAATATAATACACTTCCGTCCTTTTTACATTATTCTGACTCTGGCCATCTCATTTCGCTGATTCCCAGTAGGTCTATTTTCATTCTTTTCATTTCTTGAATTGCGTTGTCAAGTTTCCCAGTCGCAAAGAGACTTCTAACATTTGACGTGCACATTCTAAAATTAGATTTCTTCATTTTTCGGATTTCTTCACGAGGTTTTCGCATGTTTACGACCTGAGATGCCTCATCGTATAAATATGTTTCTCTTCTCCTGCCGAATCTTGGCCTCCGCTTTCCATGATAAGTAACGGTTTGCATCGGTTAATAAAATAATTTTAGCCAGAATGATCGCCAATATTCGAAACGAATAAGCACCAATAGAAGGATGTTTAGATTTAGTTTGCAAATGTTTTAAACTATTGTTGAATTTGCGTTTAGGATTCGAACGACTACGTATCGCTTTGTGAATCATTGTTGAAATTGTCTCCTTATCACTGTAAATACCAGTTTTTAAAATTATTTAAATACCAAGAAGTAATGAATAATAGTTATGTAAAGTTTTGAATATCAAGAGTAAGGTCGGCTCCATACATGGGATCCAATGTTGACGTCAACGTTGGGTCAACTGTGTTTCCACGTTCGGTGACACATCCACACATTGGGTTGAGTATTGGGGCGATATCAGTCTGTGCCCTCTAGAACCAATGTCCGACAAGGAAATTGCTGTGGTAATAATGAATGCATATGATTATATTTTGCTACAAAAAGGCGAATTTTACGTCATTTTATTTACAGAGTTACTTAAAGCTACTAGATCTTTGGAGATGCCGTATTTGGCAACTGCAGACTGAATAAATGAGTGTAAACCTGACGTCGAGGCTCTGAATCCCATTTCTTCTTTTTATTAACTCAATTCCTAAATTTTTTAGCCTTCTATTTTGGCTATATTCTGCATCAAACGTGACTTTAATGCACCGCCGATATATGGAAGTACATATTTTAAAAGTTACATGACCACATGACGGTGGTCTATTAGAACAAAATGATCTATTTCAAAATTAAAAGCATATACTTTTGTAACATTTTGAAAATTTTTTTTGGGTGCCTGAAAGGTATTGAAAAAACCAAATATGTATATTATTTATGTAAGAAATATAGTTTTGAGCATAAACCCCATTCTGATAAACCACCGACGTGTATCGTAGTGTAAATCCTAAGCAACTCAACCGAGGTAGCTTAGGTGGCCGAAGATCGATTTTTACATGTAAATTTGTTTTTTAATGCCGTCATTGAATGAAAATGTTCTTTGATAATATTTTTTATTTTTTAAAAAGAAAGCTGTGTAAAATGGTAGCACAAGCGTTTTAAAAGAAAAAAGAAAACGAGGACTCTTTTTATAACCTTTGGCTTGTCATTGGTTTATTTTGTTTTGCTTTGCTAGACAGGATGCGAAAATTACGCGCCAACAACTAAATTATGTGCAAATAGCATATACGCCGATTGGAACACTGCTGTAGCGCCAATGTCTGGTAGGCGTCAACGGCAACACCAGCTTTAGCGCCAATCCCTTTGATTTGTAAGCAAAAACCGACAGTCCACAAAAAACTCCCAACGTTGGGCAAGTCATAAAAAGTTGGAGCCAACGATGGCCCCCAACTGTGGAGCCGGCATTAGGTTTAATTTGATTTAGTAAGAAATTGTTTATTAATAGCATTATAACTTTCTAAAAACTCCATTCCACGAATATACGACTGTTTTAAATTCGCTTTAAGGTGTCGATTTAAATGGTCCAATGTACTGAATTGTACAATAGTAAATTCTCCCCATTTTTAAAATACTGTTACGACAGATATAAACCTTAGATTTAAATATGAAGTCATGATATAAATATAAAGTTAATAGTTTATAAAACAGTTGTAATTCAGATTTTGAAGTATATAATTACTATCATGGAGTTTATTTTTTCATTTCAATTATTTCATTGTAAACAAGTTGGTTTTTGAATTATGTGATTTAAACGAAATGTAACAATACTTAAGTGATCAAATAGTGTAAATTTTTTAGTCGAATATTCAATTAATATTAAAAAAAACAAAAAAACTTACTTATTCACTTATTCTCTTAATCTTCTAAAACTATCATCAACGATCAGATTCACAGCCATAATCAGTCGGCGATATATGAAACTGTATATAAATTTTCGTTACTTTTTAATATCTGTAACGACTCGGTACTTTAACTATCAATAGCCGGTATGTTATACCCGTTACTTTCGGAACTTTTAAGAGTACATAAACTCAAAGCAAACAAATATTTAAAACTAACAAAGTGAAATATTAGATCCTTTTTCTGGTTTGTGAACCATCGTTCTGCCAATTTCTTTTCATTTATATTAAAAATAGTATATTTCTTTTTATTACAGTTGTAATACCTAATAAAGTAATAAAATGTGTTATATCAAAGAAACCCGGCACGCCTCTTTGGTGTTTACATTTCACGGAAAGCTTACCCAAATGTCTGATGAACACATTTGGCTTCATAGACGTCATTGTATTTATTTGTAGATTTTAACTGAAATAATTTTAGTTTAGATGTCATACTAGTAGACCCTTTTTATTGGAATAATGATTAGACCAATTGACCTTCATACTTCTACTTGCACAGTATAAATATTCGTTGTTCGCGTCAGTAAACCAAAACAGTCGTA